TCAAGCCGCCATGAAGACACTCAAACAAGCGATTGTCCACTCACCGGCAATACGCCCTATTGACTACTCATCGCCTTGTGAAGTGATCCTAGCAGTAGACTCATCCTATATCGCCTGTGGGTGGATCCTGTATCAACTCGACATTGAAGGTCGACAACGCCCTGCTTGTTTCGGCTCCATTACCTGGAATGAACGTGAATCAAGATACTCACAAGCCAAGATAGAGTTATATGGTCTTTTTTGCGCGCTCAGAGCTGCCAAAGTATGGCTCATCGGACTAAAACATTTCACCGTCGAAGTCAACGCGAAGTACATTCGTGGAATGATCAATCATCCGGATATCCAACCCAATGCCGCTGTGAACCGTTGGATCGCAGGAATTTCCCTATTCAATTTCACACTTAGACACGTTCCAGGAGACAAACACGCAGCACCGGATGGACTATCTCGACGACCCGCAGCGCCAGAAGATAAACGAAACCCCGAGGGGACGTCAGAAGATGTTGAAAAGTGGATTGATGAGATTTTGGAAAGTGGTATATGGATAGCGAAAGAGTTCGAGGAAGAACGGTCACCCTCACACAGCGCGCTTGTTCTCAAAGTGTTGAACACATCACACACGCCTGATCCTAACATTCCATCCACGGAAACTTCTCTGCGCCTCGATGACGAACTCCATGCAATCCAAGTTTACCTCGATACTCTCGCCTTTCCCCAGGAAACCCCCAGTACAAGTCAACATCGTCTTCGCAAATGCGCATTTCAGTTTTTTGTATGAGGACGCCAACTGTGGCGCAAGGAACCCAACAGTCGTCATCAGCTCGTCCTACTCAAATCCGACAGACTTCGAATGATGCGAGAAGCGCATGACTCCCTCGGCCATAATGGATTTTACTCAACTCGACGCACTATTTCGGATCGTTTCTGGTGGCCATCGCTAGACAAGGACCTATCTTGGTACCTCAAAACCTGCCACCAATGTCAGATCCGGTCCATCGAAAAAGTCATACTACCACCCATCATCTCCATCCCTTCAACACTCTTTCGCAAAGCATTCACCGACTCTATGTATATGCCTACCTCACACACTTCAGTCAACCACTTGAAATGACCTCTTAGGTCTATGTGTTTGTGGCTAGCAAAGGACCTAGTGGGTGTGTTCTAGGATGGTATTCCCAGTATTTTACCCCATGTACTGGGATGTCCCGGTCCATACTGAAGCAAGTATCTGGGCCATCCCAAGGACCTATTTTTGATCTTTCCCAATCCCAACTGGGATCACTCTAGCATGTCTCTGGGATGTCCCAGGGCATTTATCAGGAGGGCTTTCCCATCATAAATAGGGGTGATAGGGGTCCTTTTTCAGACATTTTGACGGCATAAAAATTCACGATTTGTACATCCATAGAAGGAGTAGTACTAGGTATGCAAGGCCAGTATATGCACTTGAGACAAGATTTGATATGGGACAAAAACCTGCAGGATTTTTGGCTTGAAACAGCGTCCTAAACGTAAGAGAAGTCTAACTGAGTGCAGCACTAGTCATTGAGTAATGAGGTTGTCTTGCGAGCAACATGCAATAAAATGTGGGAGCTTTACTTGCGAGTCTGTTAGAAGACAAAGAGGGGGGTGGCACAGACTTGGATATGCAATAAAATGTGAGAGCTTTACTTGCGAGTCTGTCATAAGATGACAGGGGGGGTGCACGGAAGGGGGGGTGGCAAAGATAATATGCAATAAAATGTGGGAGCTTTACTTGCGAGTTTGTTAGAAGACAAGGCGGGGGGGTGGCACAGACTCAGATATGCAATAACATGTGGGAGCTTTACTTGCGAGTCTGTTAGAAGACAAAGCGGGGGGGTGGCACAGACTCAGATATTTAATAACATGTGGGAGCTTTACTTGCGAGTCTGTTAGAAGACAAAGCGGGGGGGGGGGTGTGCAAGGAAGGGGGGTGGCAAAGATAATATGCAATAAAATGTGGGAGCTTTACTTACGAGTCTGTTAGAAGACAAAGCGGGGGGGTGGCACAGACTCAGATATGCAATAAAATGTGGGAGCTTTACTTGCGAGTTTGTTAGAAGACAAGGCGGGGGGGTGGCACAGACTCAGATATGCAATAACATGTGGGAGCTTTACTTGCGAGTCTGTTAGAAGACAAAGCGGGGGGGGGTGTGCAAGGAAGGGGGGTGGCAAAGATAATATGCAATAAAATGTGGGAGCTTTACTTGTGAGTTTGTCATAAGATGACGGGGGGGTGTGCAAGGAAGGGGGGGTGGCAAAGATAATATGCAATAGTGGGAGCTTTACTTGCGAGTCTGTTAGAAGACAAAGCGGGGGGGTGGCACAGACTCAGATATGCAATAACATGTGGGAGCTTTACTTGCGAGTCTGTTAGAAGACAAAGCGGGGGGGGGGGGGGGTGTGCAAGGAAGGGGGGTGGCAAAGATAATATGCAATAAAATGTGGGAGCTTTACTTGCGAGTCTGTCATAAGATGACAGGGGGGGTGCACGGAAGGGGGGGTGGCAAAGATAATATGCAATAAAATGTGGGAGCTTTACTTGCGAGTCTGTTAGAAGACAAAGCGGGGGGGTGTGCAAGGAAGGGGGGTGGCAAAGATAATATGCAATAAAATGTGGGAGCTTTACTTGCGAGTCTGTCATAAGACAGCAGGGGGGTGTGCAACAAAGGGGGGGTGGCATTAGATAATATGCAATAAAATGTGGGAGCTTTACTTGCGAGTCTGTCATAAGACGACGGGGGGGGGGGGGGGTGTGCAAGGAAGGGGGGGTGGCAAAGATAATATGCAATAAAATGTGGGAGCTTTACTTATCTCATGTCTGCTGAGTGTCGTAAGGGGTGATAATGCGGAATCGCTTATTCTTTGCTTGCAATATGGTAGCAATATGGAAAATGGTTTGGCACTGTCCAAGGTTCTTCCGGCTATTTCTATGTTACTGTTCCTGGCTGGGAATGTTGATAAAATGATAAGCCATCCTCTCATTCGTGACGGGGTGTTGCATATTCGACTCGAGTAGGCCATCATATACAGCTTGAGAGATGAAGTTTCCAATTTGAGGAGGCATCCTGTATTGTGTGTTCAGGAAGAGGGCATGGTCCTTGAGATGCTTGACCTCGAAGATGCTCTTCAGGTCGTGGATATCATCCTGACCATAGTGTGGCAATTGTTTGTCATCGCCAATGAAGCAAATCTTTCTAATGGAGGTATGAGAGGTGAAGAGAGGAATGTAGGCGCCAATCTCAATTTGGGATGCTATCTAGAGGGGGGGGGGATAGATAAATCTGACTAGCTAATGGCACTGTTCGGGCTCTCCCGCCTACCTCTCTAGTACTATCTGGGCCTTCCCGCCCACCCCATACACATCATCGGGGCTCTCCCGCCTGCCATTCAATTAGCAACTGGGCTCTCCCACCGACCATATACGCATCCTCTGGGCTCTCCCGCCTACCATTCAATCAGCAACCGGGCCTTCCCGCCAACCCTACCAACACCATTTGGGCTCTCCCGCCGACCATATACGCATCCTCTGGGCTCTCCCGCCTACCATTCAATCAGCAACCGGGCCTTCCCGCCAACCCTACCAACATCATTTGGGCTCTCCCGCCGACCATATACGCATCTTCTGGGCTCTCCCGCCTACCGTTCGATCAGCAACTGGGCCTTCCCGCCTACCCTACCAACACCATTTGGGCTCTCCCGCCGACCATATACGCATCCTCTGGGCTCTCCCACCTACTGTTCAATCAGCAACCGGGCCTTCCCGCCAACCCTACCAACACCATTTGGGCTCTCCCGCCGACCATATACGCATCTTCTGGGCTCTCCCGCCTACCGTTCAATCAGCAACCGGGCCTTCCCGCCTACCCTACCAACACCATTTGGGCTCTCCCACCGACCATATACGCATACTCTGGGCTCTCCCATCTACCGTTCAATCAGCAACCGGGCCTTCCCGCCAACCCTACCAACACCATTTGGGCTCTCCCACCGACTGTATACACATCATTTGGGCTCTCCTGCCTACCCCTCTACTACTATCTGGGCCTTCCCACCGACCCTAATTATACCAGTTGGGCTCTCCCGCTGACCATAATGACACTATTTGGACTCTTCCATCTACCTCTCAACTACTATCCAGGTGTTCCCACTCACCCTAATTATGCTATTATATGCTGGCCTTGATCAGCTCTTGTAGACTTCGGAGTATGTTCAAATCACATGCATTTCAGTATTTGTATTCAACCCAAAGTGCACATATTTCCATTTACCTGAGCACAATGAACACAAATCCATCTGAATATAGAAATTGAAATCTACAAAAAGCAATATTGTGTGCAAAGTACATGTTATGCTACATAATTGCTAGTGTGGTAGACTGAATAGGATGACGGGCAAAAGACTTTGCAAAGTTTTGATGAGATGAGCAGCATTCAGCAGCCATATACAATTTGACACCCTAAAGATATAAGGACTTGTGGTGTAACGGTTAGAGTGTGTGTATGCCTGCATAGCATGTTTATGTGAGTTCGAACCTGCCAACGTGCATTTTAAATATTTGTTTTTTTTCTTCAGCAGAAAAATCCGTGGAGGTCGATTCAATCCTCTTGCATGTGATGATAAATTATGTTGCCATTCGTCGTTGTCACCAAACCTTCTCACAGATATAGTGCGCAAACTTAATTTCACACGTTTTGGGCCGTTGGTACACATATGATTGCATTACAAGATCGTCAACAAAAGGGAGACAGACATGACCTGTCTTGTTCCGACACATGGGAGTACTAACATTACATGTGAAAGCTTCATCCGCGCAAGAGACAACTGAAGTGATGAGGTACCCGAAGTACAACAGTGAGAGGTACACGAAGTACAACAGCTAGAGGTACCCGAAGTACAAAAACGTGAGGCGCTAATATGAACAACCAAAGGCAAGCAAAGTCAATATGAATGAGTGGACAGCACAATTCTTGCCCATGTTAGTAGCGAAACCGCGAAGGCCCGTCTTCATAATGAGAGTCACCAGCTCTCCTTACTTGGAACCTCTGATTGAAATCATCAGCATGATTTTGCCGGCGTGAGTGAGCAGGACGTCCAGGATAAGAACCATCATCGCTAAGCGCGACAGGAGAAGTCTCGCGTTGCCTGTAGGTGGGCCGATAGTACCTTGAGCGAGATGGATCTCGCTGAGGGTATACAGGAGGTGAACGAGAATATTCACGGCGGCGGTTTGGGGCAACGAAATCTCTGTCCTCACGACGAGGGCCTGGGTAGGGCGCAAGCCTAAGCAATTAAATTAATATATGTTGGAAGTCGTGGAAAGGTAAGACATACTCCAAGTCTGCATCATTACGAGAGTCAGCGGGACGCTCCTCCATGCGGCGCATGAATGTAGGGTCAACCTGAAGAAGATCAACATTGAGTCTTGACGGAATAGCGTAGCACTTACCCGTAAAGGTTTCTTCGCCTTGAACGGCAGGCTAGCCTGTCGTCTTCCACCACCGACAGGTTCATCTCTGCTTGTAGGCAGAACAGGGCGAGATTCACGATCAAACACATTTGGGACTTGAGGAAGATGAGTGTCCTCGCAGCGATGTACTGCTGTGAAATTGGTAGGGTGACGTTGGTTTGATGGCAAGGTCGGGGGGCTCGGAGTGACAGGAGATTCATGATCACTTGGCAGCGTGTCGTGAGTAGAGGGAGTCTGACCATCCGGATGTGCTTCATGAGCTGCCAATATATCTTCAGGGACAGACGCCTTAAATTTGGCGGAGTCTACTAGCTTGCGTAGCACAACATCCAAGGCACTGGTCACCAAGGGAATGTCGAACATCTCCGGCACCTCGTCATTGAGCTGCTTGATACATTCTTGCACAATCGACATCAGAAAACAAAGGTATAATGATAACGTGGAAATGACATACCATCTGGCCAAGCTGCGAACTCGATCTCGGGTACATCGACATCTAATTCACTCATGACGTCTTCCACAGTGCGCCCCTGACCTCGGCGCTTGCCCTTCGACTTCTTTTTCTCTAGCTCTAACAAGCTCTCAGCTTCAGTGCGGAGCTCTGCCTCATAATAAGAATGCGCTTTGCGCTTGATGAAAGGAACGACAAGTAGCTTGAGGTGCTGAGAACTTAGGTTGTGAGGATTGAATTCGGGACCGATAGGAAGGACGTCTTCAGGCCAGTTCTTAATCATGAACTTGTACTGGAAAGCATAGTCAAGAAGCTTCCGCCACTGGACTGCTTTGGGTTGATACCCAAACTTCGCTATTTGAGCAGAATCCAATGAATCGTTGAATTTGGACAAACTTGAGTACTCACAAGTGTGCTCGAGTACCATAATTGGCCATATCCTCCTGTAACGGTCGCGGGGAGCCTCGTTTGGCTTTGAAAGTAGAATCTCGTAAGCCCCTACTCCCCCCATGAACTGCGGCACGGATATATTGTAGCCTTTCGCTCTGTGAATATATCAGGAGGTAGGAAAAGTCCAGAATAATAAGACGTACTTCGTTGCAGTCACGACCCAATCTAATATTGCGCGAGCATCCAGTTGATGCTCATTGATCAACTTGACTATGAGGTCGGAGCCCGCGACAAAGCCGGATGCCTGTCGAGCAGCCTCGTCTTGTGTTGTATCAAATATACAGCCGATGGCCTCGACTCCTTCAAGGCGAGAATAAGCAGACAACTGTATTGAGTCATTAGTCGTAATTTAGAATGCGCTAATGAAGTAGATGTACCTTTCTTGCAATATCCTCCCTCATTGACAAAATGGTCTTGGCGCGTGATTGATTGGTATTGCCGCCAGTAACGTTATAGTTGCGAATGATGTCCCACTCTTCGTCATCCTTGCCCATCGCATGATAATGTTTGCGTTGACGTTCTTTCCAGTCGATGATAGCTGAGACTCTCGAGTTAGCATCATATACACCACAGAATGGGGGGACTGACATTCTTTGTCCTTGCGGGGGTTATTATCCATGAACCAGCGTTGGTGGGCATTCCAATCAGACTCTGATCGTGAATGCTTGATGGACAGACCAGCCTCAATGAGAATAGCGCGCGCGGACTTGCCATACTTGGCGCCAATCACCCGAGCTTCTTCTGCTGTTTTCTGTCCAAGTTCCTGAGCCTCATCGATGCCCTCCTGACATAGCCGTCCACGCTTTAAATGACCTGAGGGTTCGTCTTCATTCTCACTGTTGTCAATGTCCGGCGTCGGGCCAAAGACTATACTGGCTGGAGTGGGGTTGCCACCATGTGAAATAGCTGCATGCTTCTTGCGAACGGTTGTCGAGTGAGATGTTTTTTGGGAAGTGTTGGCCAAGGTAGTTTCGATCGCTGAAGACCTTTTCCTGCGCTTAGCAGGCAGTGAAGACGGGCTGTTGTGGTTGGGGTCGAGGTCTTTGTTTGCATCTGACTCATGGGCGGAATCTTGATCAGATGTTGCGGGGCCTTCACGGTAGCTGGTATCCGATGAAGAGCTTTGAGAACCATCATCGAAATGTAAATTGTAGCTGCCCTTCTTGACCCTTCGAGGCCGAAGTCTCCTGGCTGCGTACAACAGATGACCATCAGCCCTCCCCACTAAGAGAAAAGTAAGATAGTACATACCTTGTGAAGTCTCGAAGTCCTTGTTATTTTCGCCACCCTCAGGCTCTTCATCGCCACCCTCAAGCTCTTCATCGCCACCCTCAGGCTCTTCATCGCCATCCTTGGCGTCGTTGTCGCTATCACCTTCTACGTTGTCTTCACGGTGACAACCGTCAGCCTTCCCAACGATATACTAAATGAAAAATAATATACCTGAAGTCTTTCCACGTACGGAGCCATCATTATCCTCATCCTCATCTTCGTTAGCCTGGCTGTGTTCACGGTCTTCATTGGTCATATCATCATCGGCATCATTGTCGCTACCGCCGTTCATATCATCATCCATGCGAGTGTCCGTAACGGGTACGTCATCGTCGATGTCAGGTGTATCTATGAAAGGGGTTAGTATAGTTATTGTTGTGAATGCCGTAAGTCATTACCTGGGGGATGGTCGCTTTGCAACTCCATTCCAGAAGAGACGGAGTCCGCTGTGGGTTTTAAGTGTTGTTTGCGAGGGCGAGCAAGGATTCGAGCATAGTCCTCAAAGGTCGTACCCGAGGAACGTCGGGGTAAAGGACGAGGTTTTGGCCGGTGAGGGTCATCCGGAGCAGGAGATGACTCGGGGACAGCATTTCTTTGGCGCTTATTATTTTGTTTGGCGGGGGGGTTGATGGCAACACCACTGCGTGTGCGCATGACATAGGTGCCAGACACTGTGGGGTCATGAGTGCCAGTACCGGTAGCACCACGACGGGCTGCATTTCTGGTAGACGGTGCCATTGAAACGTAGGCGGGCTTGATACTGAGAAAAGGGGTGCTTTACACGAATGTTGAAGCAGGGCAGCTTGTGAAACACGAAGTCTTACAGCTAGATTTCAAGACTCGAAGTCTTGACAGGACGATAGAAGAGTACAGAAAACTAATGGTTGCGAGTCAAAAGAAGAAAGATTCTTGTTTAAAAAACACGAACATTGCGGGTTTTAACTAATGGTAAGGCGCCCAATACACATCAAGAAATAATATTCCAAAGTTGTAATCCCGCCCAATCGACACCGAAACGAACAGAGGTACATTGAAAGAACATTGTTAGAAAAATGGAATATTCACCGCAAAGGATCGTATACTAACTTATTGGGGATGGCCCACATTAAAAAAGCTTCGAAACTTACGAAAATGAGGGTCCAAATGGGTGATGGGGCGAATATGAGCTTCTCCGCGCGTAAGAGTCCAGGCTACTGGCGGTACTGATGATGCCATGGTCATCATCAAAAATCTCCTCCAGCGTGTCGAGAAAAGAATGCTTACAATTATACGCGCCAGTGTCCCTACCATATTTTGCATACCCCAAACTTTGATTATCTGTTGTAAGTAGAATGAAACGATTGTATAATTGTAAGATGGGGGAGGACGTACCGATCGGTAGTTGGAATACAAAGATGTTGAGCGTTCAAAATTCCCGCAGACGATGAAATAGAATTGAGTTGCTGGACATGCGCTTGCGCAGAGAACGAATAGATAGTGGCGCAGTGTTGAGGCATCCGACTCGTAGTCAGACAGCCAGACAGTGCTGGATGACGCGAAGTCACCCAGCCAAAGCGTGTCTGCCTCGAAGGCAGAACCATGCGATCAGGCCAGTCGATGCGGTGGAGACAAGGGTGGGAGATGAGGATGTCGTTGAAAAATCCTGCGTGTAATCAATTAGAATAGAGTTAAATGGACACATACATTTGTAGAGGATGGATGTGGGCGAGGTGTTGAGGTAGGTAGACCGTAATCTGACTCGTAGTCAGACGGCCAGATAGCGCTGGATGACACGAAGTCATACAGGCAGAACTTGTCTGCCTCGAAGGCAGACCATGCGATGAGGCCAGAGGTTGAAGATGGGGGCAAACGATGAGGGCAGAGGGCAGACGATGAGTGGAAATGGGGCCAAACATTGATGAGATTACTAAATTGGTCGAAATCAGAAGGGCTTTCCCAGGCTTTGGTCTGGGCTTTCCCACTCTAGGTAAGGGCTTTCCCACACTGAATCAAAGTGTGAAGTCCATTTTGAACGCTTTTCCTCATCCTCAACGCCACTCCTCATCGCGGCGGCTCACATTCCCCAGCCTATTCCCCAGCCTCTACAGTCTACCTTCGTGGTGGGCGTCCTTTGAGCAGCAACTTCGTGTTGTTTGCTACTATCGATTGCTTAGACTTCGGTCGGCAGTCTTGTCATCCACCAGCTCAGTATCGTGCTACGACCGCCTTGATTTATGCTATTATTACTAACATCACGCCCTCACCAGATCTCTCCCATCTTTCAAGACTCTTACTGCCTTCGTGGGTCTTAGACTTCATAGGTAAGTACATTCGTTATTCGTCACGCTATTATGACTACATTAGGTCTTTAACCAGACTCGCTCAAGACTCCTGTCGCCCTTTACAGTAAGTTCGTTCATTACACTGATTCATGCTATCATCACTGACACCACGCCTTCGTCAGATTTCTCCTGAATCTTTCAAGACACACTCTCTCTCGCTATCTGCCTTCGTGGTAGCATTTTAATCGGCAGTGACTTCGAGTCGCTGTTTCGTTTAAATTTCCTTCCTCAGTGACTGCGAGTCGCTGTATCTTTCCCGTTCTCGATATCACGGTTCCTGGAGCTACAACCATGTCGATTCCTGTCTTCAAGCCATTCATGCGCGATGGTGACCGTACGTTTTGGCATCTTCGTACCTCTACTACTCTTGATTGACGATATCCAGGTTACCTGACTGCCACTGATGCTTTCTGTGTGGCTACATATGGCCACCGAGTAATCACAACTCCCAACATGAAATTCATTCCCCAACCCTTCGACAACGAATCCGACATCATTCAAGCGCGCGCAGATGGTAGATATTGGGCCCTGGATCCCTTCCAGTGGCCGCAGATGTATGACGACTTATACGCTCGAAGTTTTGCAATCCCACGCCAGGAAGCCTATGCGGACGACTCAAGCATGATGTACGCATGGTTCAGACCAACTTTCGCAAGTGACTTCACGCCCATTTCTCCCGGCAATCTTTTTGGTCAACTCAAGACCGACATTGTCGGCCATCTCAAGCGCTTGTACGAGAAGGCCAATACGCGGGTTAGCAATTACAAGGTTGCAAGGTCCCACAAGGAGGATCATGTAGTTGGGTGGGCGCATGCAATGCGCGCTGTCTACGAGCGCTTCCAGCAAGCCATGGCCTGGCGCGACATCGTCATAATCGTTGCTGAATATCAGCGCCGGTTTCTCGATATCTGGGCGGTTATAGACTATTACGAAATTATCGAGCCTCGCATGCGATTCGTCGACACTACGCACAAGGTTAACCCAAATGGATGGGTTGTTTCACCGAAGATGTCGCTATCGCTACGAAGGTGCACGCTGCTGGAGTTCCTGTCTGGCTTATTCGCGATGCCAGACTTGTCAATGCCAACATGAACATCGTCAAAGTCGTTTCCTTCACACCACCCGATGACCTCGTCATCGGCATGTATCATGATCCCGTCAAACTCTTCGCCCAACCATTCGACATCATCAACAGAGGTCCCAATAATCGCAAGCGTCATGAGGCCGCTCGTCAGCCGTATTCCAACTTTGAGAAGCTACCGGTTCCAAAACCCCAAGTGGAACAGATGGTAACGAGGGAGTCATTGGTAGGAAGGGCGCGCGTAGACAAAGGGAAGGCCAAAATGAGTGCCAAGCCTGCGCCGTGTAAGTTCAGCATTCTTCTTTCATGGTTGTTGTGACTAATTAATTCCTCAGACAATGCAACCGCTCCGCGTCAGAATAAAGCTGTATCTGGCCGTGACAAGTGGTCTGATATAGATCACCCTTATATGCCGCCAATGAACTCTTTCTTCAAGATAGCGTTGGAGGACGCAAACAAAGATATTATTCGCATCAAGCATCCCAGAGACAAAATGGATGATGGGTACTTCGCTTCCCGATCCAGGTTTATTCGTTAACGTTCTTTCCCCGCAATCCTTGGTGAAGTACCTTGCCAACTGGCTGGCATGCCGCCCTACCTGGATAGAACGTGTCTATGACGAAAGGCCTCGACCTCTTCCTCGCGCCCAGAACTGGCGCGATTTCTTGATATCTCAGCACGCTCAGGAACCTTCGAACACGCGGACGTCCGGCAAGACCAGCAAGTCGAAAGCAGCGACTGCTTTACTTTTCCAAAAGGAAGTTCCGGTACTGCGGGCCTTGTGGGCAGGACCCACAAATGTTCACTGGCGTGGAAAGGATATAGCCATTTCCACGCTCGACAATCCCCCCGCAGATCTCGCACGCCAAATCGTATATGAAATCTGTGAGCAAAGTTTTCGATATGAGCTTCTGGACCTGGATGAGCATCTTGGGCGCGATGCACGTAAGGACAAGGAGGCGAGGAAGGAAAGGATGGAGCTTCTTCGTAGCATCTTCCCGTCGAAGTCGTTGAAAGTTTGGAACAGGGACTTACCCTCAAGAGAACGACGGACTCAATGCGCCATCTTTCGACGCCGCTTTACCATATTTCGAAAGTTTCCGCAAGGTGTTGTCAGCGTGGGAGCACTTTCCCGAGTCCCTCAAACAACCTTTTGATGCTACCGGACGTGAGCACAACATATGAAGGGGATGAAGGAATGTTGTCTCTTTTACGTTCAGTCTTATTTCGACAATACTGGTCGTCCACCTGTCGTTCCTCACTTACTGTATTCGGTCGCCTAGATCTAGATGCTGTGTGCTCTTTTCCCATCGCAATCATTGTCATCTTACGAATTTAATTCACATATACCCCCAATAGTCAATAATTTGTATACCACCTTGTGTTACCCATTGCTGTTGCAATCACATGGGATTTTGTCATGGTTGAACAGGTTATCTTAGATATCAACGTTTATTTTCCGCATACCGCTAATATTTCAGTTTCACAGAGCAGAGTGTACACAAACAGGTAGAGTTCCTTCCTTCACATTTGCTAGCCCTCATTTGCTCCAAAGGTTGATCGACGTATTCGACCACTTTTTCGTCTGTGTATTCGACGCAAGTTTGGGACTTCGAGTCCCTCCTAGTAGTTGACTTCGTGTCGACGTTGACCTTGGTGCGGGCTTCGTGCTTGCCTTCGACTATCTCCTAGTCGACTTCGGGTTGACACTGACCTTAGTGCGGGCTTCGTGCTTGCCTTCGTGTTGACACCAACCTTAACGCGGGCTTCGTGCTTGGCTCTCAATATCTCGTTATGGTCTCATCCAACCCTATCGCTGGGCCGTCCACTCCACCCTCTCACAATACGCAGCACGAACTCATCACTTCTTCAATGGTGACGAGGAGGCGGCGACCGCAGCAAAGCAGCAAGTTTCATCTTCCTATAGCCCCCCCCACTACTCGTACTTCCCGGAAGAAAACGCCTCACCCAACAATCACTCAATAATCCAGGAAGGTCACAGCAGCAACAGCCTTTGCGCGATGCCGATACTGCTAACCAGCATGATAGTCCATCCGCTGGGAATACTTCAGAGCGTGAAGAACACTCGTCTTTCTACAGCTCACTACACTACGTCTCCGATGGTGATTCAATCCTACCTTCCCCCTCGAAGGGCCGCCAAAAGAAGATGAATCAGTGGCGACGCTGGACAAACGAAGTCATTCCTTCCTTGATCAGCTCCATACCTTACATACTTGCGCAAATCGACTTCTCTTCGCGATCAAATTGAACTGCAGCCAGATGGAGTTGCTACCTTTCAGTGCAAATCGTCTTGTCGACGGAGGGTTCTCGATATCACTTGCATACTCTTCAATCGTATGTCTCTCTTATTACCTGAGTTATTAGTTGTCTGATAATATCGTAGATATCGAGATATTACGAATTGAGTGCTGCACTTGCGCGCCTGCTCCCCCTTCAGCTCCTGTCTCGCGGTTACTTTTGCCTGCGCTCCCCATCGCTCCTTCCCTCGCTGTCGACCTTCAGTTGCTGGAACTTGTCAAAACCTTGTTCGTACATACCACTCCCCAACACAACTGCTTGGTGCGAAACACTCGAAGTCTTTCTGGCTGGCCGCGGGTATCACCTTACCACCAAGGTGAGTCAAGTGCCTATACTGAGTTTTGAAGTATCAATATTTTTATAGGATAATCTTCGTCGTCGGTTTGGTACTGCCTATCATTGGTACTCTGTACTCTTCATGAGTGCTGATGATCACCTGTCCAATGTCATTGGAACTCATCGCCCACTTCCACCGCCGTCAACTGAGGGACTAACACGTCCAAGTGACTATCTAAGGTCTCGTTGTCCGATTTGTTTTGGCTTGGATGATTGGTGAAAAAGTAGAACTCTTAATCTCAAGTAAGTTGTTTCAATATTAGCAACTAAAACAATTCTAAAGTATATGATAGACCTGACGTCCATACTTGTATTGACGCATGCTTCACTCAAAAACGTTCATCAGACCAACGCGGTGGAGGGCCAGATCCCCCAAACCCAGTCAGATCGGTTTTCCTTCGGACGATGAGGTGACATCGATGGAGGTTCATGTGCGGAGTTGTCGCGGCGACCCCTTGATCGGGTCGCAAGAGAAAGCGACCTGCAGCCACAGAAGAGGAGGGGGATGACTACGAGGATGGCATGCGAGTCCCGACGTCTGTGCTAGATGGCTGCGGTGATTCTTTTCTTGCCGCTGATGAGAAACGTGAAAAGGCTAGTACCCAATTTTTTGCAGATACAGGCGTGATGGCCATGCTATGTCGGCACGATCGTGTATTATGGCTCGCCAACATGACGTCGGCGGGAGAAAAGCAACACTATGCTCTCGCCCTCATCCAGAAACTTTTCGATAATCTCCCTACCGATATGACCGTTGGCCTGTTGTATGACATTGGCTGTCAGCTTCATCGAAGTTGTCTCAAGTACCGACTCCTCGATGATGCGGTTCTTCGCCGTATAACTTTCGCGATATCAGTCTTTCACGCCTACGGCCACCAATGGGCATGTCAAATTATATACCATCCTCGCAAATGTGAAGGCTTTGGCCTTTCGGATGGAGAAGGTTGCGAGCGTTTATGGAGTGCACTGAAACATCTCATTGCTCCGCTACGCGTTTCTGGGGTGAGTGTCTCTGTTTCGAAAATGATTGCATACGAGCTATAGCCGCTTATGACCATACTTGCCATGGTCGTATTATTCATTCACACCTCTGACTATACTTTACATGTTTGCTTCTTACTGACCGCTTTTTCAGTTTCATCAGCGACTTTTGTCCTCAACACTCAAGTCCGGCACCTCGATGAGAAGAACCTTAGTTTATATGGCAACTGGTTGATCCGGAGGTGGAATAACTGCATCAAGAAGAAGAGTACTGCAACGCAGGCTCTACGTGAGCTTTCAGTCGATGAGATCTGTGTACGCCAGGAATGGCAATCGCAAGTTGAATATCAGACGAAACCCCTGCCTCGTAAGTGCTACCGTTCGTGATGTACAATTACAATATTCATGCACGTGAACTCGACAGGAAGATCGAAGACAAATAATGACGAGGAAATCTCAAAAATTCTCTCCCTTGAGAAATCTCTTATTGAGATTGATGGAGCGTTGCGACGCATGGAAACGCAACTTTGTATGGGAAATGTTGACAATCTCACTGACTACAATCTTCGTCTCATTGAAGAGCGCGCTCACCGATCAAGAGTCGCAGACACTTTGAGCCGCTGGAAGACAAGACTTGGCATCAGTCAGCGCACCCGTCTAGAACAACTACGTCGCAACATATATCTACAAGTCCGTTTAGACGCTCAAGCTCTTAAAACGCGTATCCGCGAACGACTTCGACAGCGCAAGTTCGAAATTGAGAAGCTTGAACGCTCTTACAGGCAAGCTGTAAACGGTACTTATGTTC